TTACAGTGTTTGTGGAGAGAAAACTCTTGCAAAGATACTTTTTCTCTATTAGGAAAGTATGATAAGTTCTCACATGCAGCCCTTTTCAAATATTCCTGGTTCGTTGGCCCCCATTAGTCCCCACTGCATGTGGAAGTGGAGTGACCATCATATTTGGTGTCTTCTTTGCACTGAGCTTAGCGCTGGGATTTCATCCTCACAACAGCTTTATAAACCAGGTGGTGTTATTACCCGCTTTCAACAGACAAGGGAACAGAAAGGTGGTTCCCTAAAATTACTCAGCTAAAAAGCGTTAGAAGTGGAATTTGGAGTCCTGACTCCAGACTCTACATTACACTCTTCATTCTGGGCTCCGTGGTCCCCATTTGGCTTGTAACCAAGGCCAGTAAGTTACAGGTTTACACGCAGCAGGGGAGTGCAGTTCTGGATGACAACGACAGATTCTCCCCTTGGGGTGGGGTACTCTGAGGGGACCCCGGGAGATGAGGAGGCTGTGGCCTGTCTCTAACTTGCTGGTGCTCTCAAGGAAATGGGGAGAAAGTGTGAGGGTCAAGAAGGGCCATGGGATGCTTGTCTAGGGCCCAGTTTGCCTAAAGGTGCTCCCTATCAGATGTGTGAATGTCTTTTACTCGCCAGAAATAGATTTATTTAGAATGTGGGTATATATACTGAAATGTTAAAAAAAAAAATGAGACAGTTACAGAAAAATTACAGTTTTGATGTGTGGTTTATATATGTCTTCTAAATTTACTCCTTTGGTGTTGTATTTGTGATCAAAAATGTAAAAAAGTGACTTTATTATATAATTTTTGCAAACGTTTAAAAACATTCCTAATAAAATTTGGATGTCAACTCTTCAGACATGTGTCATCTTGGGAACTAGAAACACTGCTAGTCAGAACGGTGTTCTATGAATTCTGTTTGATTAGATATTCAGAGGGTAGACAGACTTTGAAATCTGTGAATTTTTCTTTTATATCTATTTTATAATACTGAAAGTAATTATTCAAAAATTTGAATAATGCAAGATAAAGTAAACCAAAGAATAGAAAATTAAAAAAATAAATAAATAAAAAATACATGCAATAATAATAAATACAATATTCTCCAAGTAATTAAGATTTCTCTTGCCTTTTTTCAGTATTCTACAACTGACTGAACTTTTATAATATACTATGTTAACTAATTGTGAAAAGAATTATTATATGCATGCTTTTCCAATTATTACTAAATAAAAATAAAAAAAGCAAAGGTCATACTTGATATTTTTGTTCACATAAAGCATAGTCTTTGGAGAAAACACTGATGAAAAGAATAACATCAGTAAAAGCTTAGACCTGCAACACAGTCCAATTATTTTCAGGTAGATTTTAAGATTATACTCTGTTTAAGGATACCTTGACAGTTTATCACTAGAGCACAGAAAGAGATCTATGGAAAGCCAAGTAGTAACAGCTTTCAGAGACTATCCATCTGCGGCATGTACTACACTGCTTAACACAAAGGCCACATGTACATAAAAGGACTGGTTTCAACTTTGTTAGAGCTAAAGGCATTTGAGCCTGAAGGATACTCCTACACTCTGGTGGGAATGTAAATTGGTGTAGCCATTACAGAAAACAGTATGGAGGTCTCTTAAAAAACTAAAAATAGAACTACCATATGATTCAGCAATCTCACTCCTGGGCATAAGTCTGCAGAAAAACGTTAATTCAAAAAGATACATGCACCTAAATGTTCACGGCAGCACTATTTACAATAGCCAGGATATGGAAGCAACTTAAGTGTCCATTAACACATGAATGGATAAAGAAGATGTGGCTCATGTGTACAATGAACTAGTATAACCATAAAAAAGAATGAAGTACTGTCATTTGCATTAAAATAGATGCACTCAGAGATTATTATACTAAGTGAAGTAAGTCAGAGAAATTTCATATGATATTGCTTTTATGTGTAATCTAAAATAAGATATAAATGAACTTATTTACAAAACAGAAACAGACTCACAGACATAGAAAACAAACTATGGCTTTCAAAGGAGGTGGGCAGTGGGGAGCGGGATAGATTAGGGGTTTGGGATCAGCAGATACCAACAACCATATACAAAATAAACAACAAGGTCCTACTTGTTGCATAGCACAGTGAACTATATTCAACATCCTGTAATAAACCACAATAGAAGAGAATATAGGAAAAAAAAATATTGGAATCATTTTGATGTACACCAGAACTAACACAACATTGTAAATAAACTATACTTCAATTAAAAAATATACAAATGAATATCAAAACTATCATGTTGAGTATAAGAAGCCAAACACAAGACTCTGTAAATATCTCATTCTTTCACTCAACACAATGATATATATAATTTCATATATATGACATACTTTATTATACAGCCCTAAGAAACTAATACACGTGAAAAACAATAGGTGTTTGTCAAAACTCATGAAACTAGACACTTAAAATGCGTGATGATTATTCTATGTGAATTGTATCTTGATAGACTTGATTAAAAATGAGGGAACTAGAGAAAAAAAAGACTGAGGGATAAAAGAAGACTTACCAATGGCCAATGGGTACACAAAAAGGCCCACGACATCACCAATCATCAGAGAAATGTAAATAAAAATCACAATAGGATTTCAGCTCACACCTGTTAGAATGGCCACATTAAAAATCGAGGGATAAGTGTTGAGGAGAATATGGAGAAAGGGGAACCCTCCTACACAGTTGGTTGGTGGGAATGTAAAATTGATGCAGCCACTGTGAAAAACAGTGTGACGTTTCTTTAAGAAACCAAAAATAGAATTACCATCTGATCCAGCAATCCTACTCCTGAGTATTTATCTGAAGGAAATGGAATTAACATCTCAAAGAGACCTCTGCACCCCCATCTTCATTGCAGCACTATTCACAACAGCCAAGACACGGAAACTATCTATCCATGACACACACACATGCAAAATGGAATACTATTCAGCCATAAAAAGAAATCTTTCCATTGTGACAGCATGGATTGTTCTTATGCTAAGTGAAATAGGTGAGACAGAGAATATGGCATGATCTCACTCACACGTGGGATCTAAAATCCAAAAACCCCTGAACTCACAGAAACAGGGTGGCCTGGTGATGGTGCAGGTGGGGTGGGAATTGATGAAGATGCTCAAAGGATATGAACCCTCTATTATAAGACAAATGAGTTCTGAGGGTCTAATGCATAGCGTGGCGACTGTAGGTAATATGCTGTACTGCATATCTGAATGTTGATAAAGGAGCAGATCTTAAGAGTTCTCATCACACACACACACACACACACACACACACACACACAATAGTAACCATGTGAAGTGATGAAGTGTTAACTAAGTTTACTGTGGTCATCATTTTGCAATATATATGTATATAAAATCATCACACTATACACTTCAGTTTACACAATATATGTCAATTATATCTCAATAAAACTGGCAAAAAACGAGAGGTATAAAACATCTACATTTTATATATTCACATACACTTTAGTTACTGAACTCTGATTAGTTGTCTACTGCTCAGGAAATTTTAAAAATCATGATATTAACCAGCTTTTGCCTTTTTTTTTAATAACATAGGTTTCTTTGAACTATTTAGAAACTCTTTAGCAAGGACTGAATTGCTCAGACCATCTGGTGTACGAGGCTAAAAGCCCACTTTCTACCCCAGTGGAAGCCCTGGAAATGGAACAAATCCCCAGTGGGCTCTTTAGTATATTTGTTGTCCGCTTGGGCTTTGAAATAGTAACCTTGATGTTAGCAATATATTGCTGAGTACAGCTTGTATGGAAACAAATTGGAAAAGATTTGTTTCAGGTTTGAAAGTGACTTCTCCTTCATGTAGGATGGAGTCTGGATGAAGTCTTGGTAATGCCACCCACAAACCAGTCTCTGACAGGGCAAGGAAGACGAGATCGGGCGCGTTCAGGGTGGTATGGCCGTAGACAGGGCAAGGAAGAGAGCAGCTCTCCAGGTTACATGAACTGACACCTTTCACTTCCTACCTTCAAGGGAAGAGTACTCTGCTTTATAAAATGTTCATCACTGTGCATAACCAATCTGTTCATTAGGGCACACAGTCATCTTACTCCACCCCCCTTTCTTTCTTTTCCTCTCTAGTCCTCCAAATTTTATGGAAAAGTAAGTTGTTCCAATTTATAGCTCATTCAGACAGTTCTGCGAATGTCAGGTCTGATACTCTGGGACATGGTGAGTAGGTCAAAATCGATGTAAATGAACCAAACCTTCAATCAGCTGTGATTTAAATATACAGCACCATAACTCAGTTGTAATAGAATGGATAAGAGCTGAAAAGGCTCAGAATCATTCAGACTAAAATATCTTGCGGTATTTTTCCATTTTAAAATGAATTGAGCAATTCTCTCTGGTTGAGGATTGACAGCATAATGGAAACAGAGAAAACTGCAGAATTTCTCACCAGGTAACTGTATTAGCAGAAAAATTCATAATACAGTCTGTTGGTTGGAAAGAGCATGACGCCTTCTGTTTTCTTATGAGGTGCTATATTCTCACAGTTCTTGGCCAATTATAATTAGCTATATTGCCAAATTGTGGTTATCGGAAAACACTGTCAAACTTATAACTTTTAACAATATTATGAGAGACTGCATGGACGATGATTCTCCTTATAATTTATTGTGGTGGAGAAACATAATTAAAACTGCTTCCAAGTATTGCCTTCTACTTAGGAGGCGACAATCACATAAGATACTGCTACATAATAGCAATCTGGAATATTCCTATGTATTCTAGAGGACTGACTAAAGATTAAAAGAGTGGGCAAACGTTTCAGTGACCTTTGAGACTTTTATACTACACAGAAACTCTTTTTTTTTCTAGAGAGAACTTTTCGTGGGACAAATGCATTGCATAAATATTACAGACAGTTCACATATTATGCAAACTTTGTGTATACATTTGTTTTTATGTTTCACTTACCAGAATCAAGAGGCAACTTGAGGCCAATTTGGTGTGCTCAGGGATGGTGGAAAACACTGACAAAATCAAGCAACCAAAGACGAGGAGAAAACTGTAAAACAGTAAAATAAGAGAAGTCTGATGAGAGCCCGGCCTTAGGATGACAGACTTAATTTCCTAATTTCTTATTTCCAATGGATAAAGCACAAGATCCATTTGAATTGACATTGATTAAATTGTAAAAGCTCTAAAAGCAGCTAGCCATTTTAAATATCAAAATACAATGTGATGTCCAATGCATGTGGGGCTCCTTTGTAACTTTATTGATGAGGAGGATGTGTGTGTGTGTGTGTGTGTGCGTGCGCGCGTGTGTGTGTGTGTGTTGTGTGCTATGCTTAAATGTCCTCCCTCAGCTAGGAATCTGTAAATTTCCTACAAAGAGCTCTCCTGAGCAAGCATCCTGAAAGGCCCAGAAGTGTGTTTTGCTTTCCTGTTTGGAGCAGGAACTGTAGCCACGCTGCCATCAAATGAGCAGACTCACCCTCCCGTTTGGCAGCTTTGGTGAACCGTCAAGCATTCTGAGTGGTTACTAAGCCATTGGCTCCTTTTTAGAGCCCAACATTGCTCCGAGATTCTCATTTGTCATTTCTTTATTTTAATAATAAGAACAGAAAGTGACTTCTGCTACCCGCGTGCTTTCCATTCCTTTCCGGTCAAACCCTTACAGAAATGTTCTCTGCCCAGTTTCATTCGCCCTGTAGTGACAGGGAGCATCATTACCAGTCAGTTTGCAGGCATTTTTATTCCTAGAAATACTGAACGTCTGGGGCCCGGGGTCGGGGGGAACCAAGTTCCCAAAGTAAGCGTCTAATAAAACGGGCAGGCTTGGTTTTAACACTGAAAATTTACTTATCCTGAAATCTGAAATTTAAAAAAAAATCCCAATAGCTGAGCTACTTGCTCTAAGTCATATTTTTTCACTTTGAAAATGATTTGATTATACATAGCTATATTGCCAAATTGTGGTTTTCAGAAAACACTGTCTGACCTGTAACTTTTAACAATATTATAAGAGACTGCAAGGATGCTGATTCTCCTTGTAATTTATTGTGGTGGAGAAACAAAATTAAAACTGCTTCCAAGTACTGCCTTCTACTTATGAGACAATGATAACATAAAATACTGCTACATAGTAGCAATCTGTAACATTTCTTTGTATTCTAGAGGACTGACTGGCACAATTTCATCTCTGACTCAACAATCTTCTTTAAAACATCAGCGCTGTGTTCTTCAGCATGGCGTGCATCTAGCCTCTGTCCCCTCTTGACTTCCCCTGACAAGTCTGTATGTCTTTCTATTACACTTGACTGGGCCTCCCAAGAGTTCAAAGCCAGCAATTGGTGACTTATGGACAGGGGACAAATCTGGCCCCTAGTGCCTGTTTTTGTAAATAAAGTTTTACTGGCACACAGCCACACTCATTCACTTGTGTATTGCCTATGGCTGCGTTCATGCAAAACTGCAGAACTGAGATTTGTGTTCTAAGCACGAGGCTGGAATATTTACTCTCTAGCCTTTAGAGGAAAATTTGCTGACTCCTGGTTGATACCAAGCATTTCTTATTTCTACACATCCATTTTGGGGCATTAGCGAAGTGGGTCTGCTGACAATTACATTCAGAGGGTTTCCTGTAAGCAAGACACTGTGCTAAGTCCCTTTCACATGCACTTTCCACATTATCCTGTCAAATCTATGGAGTAGAAATCTCATTGTTCCTGCTTTGTAGACATGAAAACTGAGAATTAGGAACACTTTGTGACTCATCCCAGGCTATTTAGCAGGAAGAGGGTTTCTGTCCTGGAGTCACCGTGCAGTGTTGCTGAGGGGCAGGGAGGATAGCAGTGATGGTTTGGCAAGACTCTTGGAGTTAGCAGGGGGATTCTCTCTCTCTTCCTGCTGAGATGGAAGTAGTTACCATTCTGAATAGCAGAAGCCTTCAAGAAGGACTTCAGGGAAGGACACTACTAGGGAGAAAACTTGGTATCTGAGTTAATAACCACTCATACTTTTGACTCATGTACTTCATGATTCAGGATTCTTTCAATTCTACTTTAAATTGGCCCTAACAGACTGGGGATTGTAAACTAGAAATCAAATTCCAGCACGTTCACACCTCGAAGTACTCATCCTTCATGAGCGAAAGTGAAACCCAGGGATCACTAAAGTAGTTGGGAGGATGATATGGCATCAAATACAGACAGTTACAGATGTTTCCCTCTGGCGAGTGACTGCCATCTATAGAAGCCTCCCAAGTTCAGGGTGAGCAGAAAACATGCAGAGAAGCAAACTGGGGATGACTCAGTCACTAAGACACCATCTCCTCTAAGAGCATCTCAACAGTGACTTCATGACTCCCATGCGTATTTTCAAAACAGACCTACATCACGAGCCCTTTTGCTAGGGCCTCCTTCATCAGCAGCTGGGTGCTGCTTAATCTTTTTCCTTCTTGTCTCTACTTTGCTTGTTTTCTCTCTTGAGCTAATCTTACCCTCCTTTCTAACAATAGTAGCTTCTGTACTAGAAATAGGTTATTTCTATGGGACCCCAGCTGAAGACAGAAAACCGAAGACCTCCACTGCTCTGGCTGCCCAAGAGGCTATGGATGAACACATATATTTATTAATTCCCAAACTCCTTCCTTCCTTCAACCATTCATCCACTTGTCCAATCAGCAAATACTGATTAAGCATATGATACTAGGCTGAGTCACAGGGATATAACAATAAACAAGACTTTCTTTTCTTGCCTTTGCAGAGTTCATGATCTGTTGAGGCATACAGGGTAGCAAATGGATATAAAAAGTAAATGAAAATTCTGAGTGATGAGTGCAAAGATAGGGAAGATGCGGGGGGTTGACAGGAGCTAACGGGAGAGGAGGAATCACACGGGACTGGTTACTTAGTTTGTGGAGTTGGTGCAAAGTGAAAATGCGGGGACCCTTTGTTAAATGATTATGAAGAACTTCAAGGCAATGACAGGGGAGCGTGACACCAACTGTGGCGCCCTTCAAGGTTCCGGGCTCCATGAGACTGCACAGGCGGCGCACCTACAAAGTCAGACCTGGGGTTTGGGAAGATGTCTTGGAGCAAGTAAGGACTGAGACGAGCCCTGAAGGCCCAGGAGGGTTTGTCTGCACTATGGTTGTGCGGTGGGGAGAGGGACGCTCTAGGCCATTCAACTGTGTGGGTGAAGGCCAGGTGCAAGCATCACCAAAACTCACTAATTAACCAACAGGGTAGAGTCAGTGAACTCCTCCTAGCTAGCTTATTCTTTGGTGGTTCACGAAAAGTGTAAAGCAGGTCATTCCTGCAACTTCATTTTTTTTTTTTTAACATAGGAATCATCTCAGCTCCATTGAAAACATATACTGAGTACCCTACGTGAAAGACATCATACCAAGCATAACTGAGAGATGGGAATAAACCAAAGTAGACCCTATCCTTAATGAGCAACATGGTGAGTAAAGTGAACACACAAAGTAGTCATCATGAAGGTAGAGACAGATACACGCTAGGAGAAATATCACAGAGCCTGAAAGTTGGTCGGGGGGTGTTCTGTTCAGTTGGGAGTTGTGGAAGCACATCAAGAAAGTCTCTAAAAGTAGGTGTGGCTGGAGCTGGTCTTTGAAGGAAAAGTGGGGCTTTGACAAAATAAGTTTTTGGAGAAACACATTCCAGAAGAAGGGCACAGTAGGAGAGAGGCAACGAGCCAGAAAATGGATGAGATAAAGTATCTGCTCCCTGTTGCATGGAACAAGTTACTGAGTTTAACTGTATGTAGCATGGATGGGACAGGGGGCTGAATTGGGAGTCTGGGGCCATGATGGATAATACTCCAGGGTCTGTCTTTAGTTCAGCAGACAGTGGAGGCCATTCAATGTTTCTGAACAGGAAGCTCATCTCATCAGAGGTGCCCTCTGGGAAGATCAAGTCAGCAGCCATGCGTGTTAGGACATCTCTGAGAAGGGTTAGAGACATCTCTGAGAAATAGGGTCAGGAGTAATGGTGACCCAGGTTAGGTTGAGAGCTTGCTGGCAGAAACGAGGCAGCCTGGAGGGATGTTGTGAAAGCAGTAGCTCCCTCACTTGGTAACTCTGGGCCTTGCAGGTAGAGTTTGGGAAGGGGGTGGGGGAGCTGAGAAATCTGAGGTCTCCACCTGCACTCACTGGTGATGCTCTTAACAAGTCAGAACGGGAAAAGTCAGGAGAGTGAGGAGGAAAACCAGATTCTGAGGAGAAGACAACCCCAGTCTTGGACACCCACATGGAACTGTGGGTCTGAATCCTGGGCACAATGTCTGGCTGATATACAGGAGTGCCCTCCTCCAGGAGGAAGCAAATGAACAGAAAGTGCAGAATGAGCACAGAAGGTTTAAACGGCATGCAGGCTAGTTGGGGACACTTCCTGATCTTGGAGAGTGACATCATGGGAGCAACAGACACACGCTGCTGTGAAGTGGCTCTGGGTGGCCCCGCCAGAGATAGAGTCCTTGGCTGGAGAAGCACTGGGCTGACAGCGTCACCCCCGAGGGGACAGCTGCACTTCTGGGTCTGAGTGTGGCTCTGTTGACCTCACTGCTCCTGCAGGTCCCACACACCCGTGTGCGGTCTGACAGTGACCCTACCCCGTCTCTGCAGGCTAAATAGAAGTGGGGGCAGAGGCAAGAGTCACTGGACATGGGGCGTGTTTATCTATGGTAGACAAGCCCCCAAGGGGTCTGTAGGTAGAATTCCAGGGAGGGGTGAATGCGGATGGGAAAAATTATATCTTTGTCACGAATCATGGCAAAAAACCATGATGGTATCATTAGGACTAAAAACCATGATGATATCAGCAGGACTCATGACTCTGTCACTCATAGAAACCACAGATATTTTCATACCCCATTCTACAGTTGTAGATGAACCACTTATGTTTCATCTTAAATGCTGATTTTGGCCTCATCACTATTTCAAGATTACACTAGTTATTAGGACCACTGCTGGGAATTTTTAACTCATCAATAAAGAAGCATATGTATAATTCTATCAGAAACTTTAATATTTTAATAATA